CAGCCTGGCTTTGAACTTGCTTATGTAGCTCAGGCTGGCTTGAAACTCACTGCAATCTTCCTGCCTCAGCCTCCCAAGTATTGGGATTATAGGCACGTGCCACCACTGCCAGCAGTCACTCCGTTCTTTAGTGGTGGGCCCAAGAGGTGTCTCAGGCAGCCTGAGCCTTGCCTTGACTCTGGGGTTCTTCACACTTTTTTTACACCAGGGGTAAAGTTGTAGAGCAAATGGAGGAAGAGACCTGAAGATGACTGTGTGATCTATGAGATGGTTTGTGATGCTGCCATGAAAGCTACAGTTTAAAAATGTTCAACAGAGGGAGCTGTTTTGTTTCTGGGTTAATCTCAAGGGCAGCAAAAGCATGAGTGTCCAGAATAGCAGATATGTATTGCTAAAGCCTTACTTTCATGCCTTTTCTTTTCATAAGGAAGCATGGGTTATACATGTATTTTCATACACCTACATACAGCTAAGCACATGCATGTGTATAACACAGACACATGTGTGCACATGCACGCAACCCCCCAATACTTATTTCTGAACTTCCTAAAATACCCCAAATAATTAAATGCTCTGAGTAGCCCAGGGACTCAGAGGAGAAATATTTGCCCTGCTGATAACTCTGCAGCAGACCATGCAGGTAAGACACCATCCTGTAGCCTCGGTTACCTGCTGCCTTCTCTTCCACCACGCTCAGTGCTGGCCTTCCTCATCTTCCCTCTGCCCATTTCAGGGAGCCTGGGCAGACCTCCAGCTTCCCACACACTGACAGCCCTTCCTTGCCAATCTCAACCTCATTTAGATTGCAATTGCATTCGCATCCTAATTTGTAACTTAACAAGTGTCTCACAAACATTTAATTCACTTTAATTTCATTATGCATCTGAGGAGGACAATTTATGGAGCGAGGGGAGATGGTGTTCCCGTTGCCAGCAATTGGATTAATATAATGATCTATGGTGAAGTCTTCTTTTCAGCTTTGGACTTTTGGAACTGTGCACGTCTGTGAACAAAACCTGGCTAATAAGTTCCTAGATTCTCAGAGGGGCTCAGCTTCCCCCAGAAAGTCCTCCCCTATTACCTAACATGGTTCATGAAATGGGCAAGGTATTTCCTATGGTTCGCAGGTGGTGAGTCTTATCACTACGATTTCATGTGTGGAGAAATATTGGTACTTTCAAATGACGTTTCAACAATACCAATTGAATGCATTTTTTTTTTTTCTGATGGCTTTTCTGAGAATATGAGGAAAGAACAATAGAAATGCATAGGTCAAATTATTTCTTCCATTTTTGTACCTTATATACTGAGTACCCTCTGAGGAATCAGAGCATGGACTCCTTTTTATATTTCTGTACCTTTTCCTGGACAGATCTCTCAGTGACTATTTTTGTTCTCAGTCTTCCACTCCAGAAGGGACATAGGAAGGCCTGTTCTTCATTGGGGGTGAGTCTGGCGTGTCTTGTGGTAGGGAAAGTCAACTTTGTTTGGCACCTTTGAGCTGGTACATTGTTGAATAACTTGAAAAGCTGTTTTCATCATTAAGCACTAGCCTGAGAGTTAATTACATCAGAATTCTAATCTTGGCTCTGCCCCTAATTAGCAGTATCATTTTATGCAAGTCCCTTAACCCCTCTTGGCTTTTGTCTTGCATCAGTAAAGTGAAGTATATGAGAGCAAAGTCCTCTCTGTGCTCTGAGATTCTTTGCCATCTGACTTATCAGAAGGCAGTGATGAATTGGAAGCAGATTGTATGGTAAAGATTTCTTATATTGACCGTCTCCAGTGTGGTGTGCTGTGCCAGAACCCAATCTAGGCAATGTAGATAGGTCATGCACGCTAGTATCAAACATATATTTCATGTATTCTGCTAGCGTACAGAGGCAGGGGCTCCTGATTTCAATCTCAAAGGCCAGTGCTGGAGAAGACTTGGGTTCTTATTACTCAGAGGCAATGCAGGGGGGTTCTCCAGTGCATGGATGAAGCTTGCCGGTGATGTCACTCACTCACCTCTTGGACCCTGGCACGGTTCCTTTGCCCCAGTATCTAATTCCCATTCTAATACATTTTTTACTAACTAGCTGCTGGCTCTCTGGCAGCTGGCATGAGATGAAGCTCCTACTGCTGCTTTAGATAGTGACTCTGTCACTCTGTCCTGTCTGAGGGTAATGCAGCCAACAGACACAGCCACTCCAGCACTGGCTTAAACAAGCATGTTCTAAAACAACAGTGTGTTGTAAATATACAGCTTCTTCAATGGGAAAGATTGTGCAGAAATGCACCAATGCCTGGAGTGTTACATGGGGGTGGCTGTGCTTTTCCTTTCATCCACTTTGGCCTGGCTCAGGGCATTCCCCCCCAATCCCAGGCCTTTGATGCAGGAGAAACTGTGTGCAAATCTATCACCACCTCTGTAAAAAGAGCATGAAACTTCTGCCCCCACTCCCTATGGGGGGTCGGTAATGGTACATGAAGAGTGACAACCTTTTCTTGGAAAATAATTATGTTTGTACTCGTGGAGAGCTCAGAGTCAGTATTTGTGCTGCAGTCAGAACCATGCAAGGAATATTCAACGTGTGAGGTAAGTTTTAACTTGGGGAAGCCAGAGAACCTCCTAAGCCACCTGGAAATTCTGTGCATTTTTCTAGGAAAGTGTTCACAGCTTTCACCAGATTTCTACCAAGCAGCCTAGGACTAAAGAAATGTGAAATGCAACTGACAGCATGTTTTTCTGTGCATCCGTCTTCTGAATCCAGGTGATGACTCTGATTTGCCTATCCATCTTTCTCCTTCACTCTTTCCAGAAAAAGCAAGTGAGCCAGACCAAGATCCGGGTCATCTCCACCATCCTGTTCATCTTGGCCGGCTGCATTGTGTTTGTGACAATCCCTGCCGTCATTTTCAAATACATCGAGGGATGGACAGCTTTGGAGTCCATTTATTTTGTGGTAGTCACTTTGACCACAGTGGGCTTTGGTGATTTCGTGGCAGGTAAGCGCCGTGGACATCCCAGTCACTAGGGCCCTGGTGGGGAAAATCATCTGTTGATTGAGCTTTTCCAAATCACCATATTTGTGGAAGAAACATATGAAAATGACTCACAGTGGTGGCTACTGCTGGCCCCGGCTCATTTCAGACCCCTTGTTCTGCATGATGGCAAGAACAGCAGGTTTATTTCTGCCATGAAAATAAAGCCGGCCCCTTCCTCCCCTGGATGCTTTGTGTCCTTACTGTCCTGTGAATTATGCAAGAGCAAAGTAAAATTCTCATTGAATCTTAGACTTCTTAATCATGTTAAGGCTCACAAAAGCCGTATTAGCAAAAGGCAAGCATGAAGCTCTGCAAAAAGTCAGCACAGAGGTTGGGCTGCAGTCACCTGCAGTTAAGCTTTCTAAAGCTAAATCGAGAAGTGTTGTCTCTGAAAAAGCCCTGTGCATTCCTGGATGCAAGATTAAGGACTTGGTGGCCACTGGGAGAGGGGTGCTTGCTTCCCTGAGGGACGATAGTCTAATGGATTTTTTATGAATGTATGTAGAAGCTACAGGTTTCATTGTAAAAATATAGATCAATGACCTTTGTTTAAGAAAGTGAAGAAAACCATCATCAATTTCCTCAGTTCCTCTAAATGAAACCAGACTTTGTTTCACACCTGTATCACTTTCCCAAAGCGATAGGAAGGCAGGTAGAGAAGGAGCCCATCCTCTCCTTCCCAGGCCGGCGGCTCAGGCCTTCAGGCAACTGATCATTTTCTACTCCAAGAAGTGGACGTTCTGCCAATGAGGAGATGGACACAACTGAGAGAGAGAATGGAGCACAGTGACATTTGGAAAGTGCAGATGTCCTGGATTTGGAGGCAGCTGAGGCAAAGATGGAAGGCACACCGAGTGGGTGACGTGTCGAAAAAGCCCTGCTGGATGTTGGAAGAGCCTTTTTGTAGGGAAGTGGTCAGTGCCGGTGGGCTCATCTTGGTTGTTCTCTTGGTCCTCTGGAGCATCTACTGTGCCTGAAGCAGCTTGAGCCTTGGGTATCTGGAGGGCAGGCAGGGCCGCTGCCTTTTTCAGACTCCATCATGAAGGAGGTGAAGCATTTCCTCCTGGGAGACCTAAGGATAGGGGGCCAAGGGTTTTAGGGATGAAAATACTCTTTCAGTGTCATGCATCAGGGACCTCCAGCCATTGAGCCACGAATAGTGCTAGATTTTGTGGAACTGTTGTTCTTACTTTTGTCCTTTCTTTTATTTATATAAATTTATTTTCTTTTTTTTCTTTTTTGTCTTTTTGAGACAGGGTCTCCCTATGCAGTTCAGGCTGGCCTTGAGCTCACTTTGTAGCCTAGGCTGGTCTCAAACTCTCAGTGATCCTCCTGCCTCAACTTCCCGAGTGCTGGGATTACAGGCATGCACCACCATGCTTGGCTAAACTGATTTTCATATAAACCAATTTTTGCATTCCTGGGGCATTTAAATTCCAGTTGGTCCAGGTATATACTGTGTTTTATTTTATGTTGCTGGATTTCATTTGCTTGTGTTTTGTTGTGTTTTTTGTGTTTATATTCATAAAGAGTATTGGTCTGTGACCAAAAAGGAAGTGAATATGCTGATCAAATAATTCTATTATAAATGTGAAATATTTGGGTAGAGAGAGAGCAAATGTTTGTGTGTAGGGGTGTGTGTGTGTGTGTGTGTGTGTGTGTGTGTGTGCGCGCGCGCGCATGCTCCCTTGACTAGTTATTCCTGCTTAAGTAGCAGCCTGGACATCTACAGGCTGAGCTTCCAGAAAGGCTGTTCTTTATTTAGTGTGCAATCTCATCAGTGCCTTGGTATCTCCATGCAGTACAGCACACATAAAGAGGATGGTGCCTGGCTTTGTACTCTGGCGAGAGGTTGAAGCCTCATTGACAAGAGCCTGGTGCCTCTTTGTTAATTCTATGACACATGACTAGCAGGATGGTTTGGTAGCTATTCCAGCTGATCAGATGAAGACTGGAGCCCACTGTTTAGAAGTAGTAGTAATTTTTTCCTTTCCTTTTTATGGACTATGGGTGAAGAACTGTAATGTCAGAGTAATTAAAAAATTGTTTTCAGAAAACCTGGGGTTGGGACCCTCCTAATCTTCCCTTGCTCACAGCCCTCAACCATTTCTATCTGATTAGAAGTCTCAGCTGTGGAGAGAACCCACACAGAGAAACTGAGCAAAGTAAGGGAAGCGGTTGTAATTTTATTCAGCTTAATTCCTGGGTGTCCTCTGGAGCTGGCCCATGGGAAAACTCAGTTGAGATTCCAGTCTATGTAAGTAGAAATCCATGTAAGAGCAGATGGGAGTTTAGAACTGCTCACCAACATTTTGAGTATCTCAAAGCATAATACGCAATGGAATTGTGCCTCAGAGCTCTGTGCTAGCACTGGCCTGTCCTGAAGGCTATGTATTGTAAAACACTTGATGGAGCCTACACTCTAATCAGTAGCTGAGTTCCGTCAGCTAGGTTAATTTGGGGGCACAAGCAGGAGACCCTTGACAATATGAGATTTAAAACACTATTTATGCCTTTCAGTTATTATTACTAGCCACCATGGGCTGACCACTTGATACATGTGAGCGATTCATCTTGTCTTTACTCAGGGAAAATATGAACGACACAATCCCAGGCATCCACATTTCTTTAATGCCATTACTTGCCAGTGAATACAGAGCCACATTTTATTTGTTTCTGGAGTCCAGAATCTCTTGTCATCTCAGAACTGATTACAATTAGACCAGAACTTGCTAAGTACTAGTTTTCAGAGTTTACATTGACCATTATGGAGGATGTTTTCTTTGAAAGAACAGAAGTTTGTTACTGCCTTTTTAAAAATGCCGTCGTCTCCCAATATCTACAGAGTACTGGCTGCAGAACTCCTGCAGATACTAAAATTGACACATGCTCAAGCTTTTTATATAAAATAACAGTATTTGCATATAATCTATGCATACCTTCCTATACACTTAAATCATCTTTAGATTACTGGTAATACTTAAAAGTGTAAATGCTATGAAATGTAAATAGTTATTATGCTGTACTATTTAGGGAATAATGATAAGAGTAAGACTCTGCATACCAGATGCATTTTTTTTTTCAAATTATTTTTTAATGTGGCTTTGGTTTGAATCAATGGATGCAGAACCCATGGACTAAGATGATGGCCCACTCCTTAAGAGTGATAGGGCAGGTTGCCCATCATTAAAACGAGATACACACCTAAGAGTTGGCGGTTGGTTGTTGTGATCTGACATGGTATCAGCTCTACTAGAAATATGACCAGAGCATTGATCACACAGGATTGATTGCCATTCATTTTGTAGCTGACCCACTTTGGCACAGCCTAACGACAGTGCTGTGTTTTGTAACCCCGGCTGGGAGCACACGCAGAGGCAGAGATTCTTCTTATTCCAGACTGGCTGCAGATAAAAAGACGCTCAGGAAGGCTTCACTGCATTGTTCACTAGTGCACCCTAGTGACAGTCTTGGTTGAGTGATTGTGATTTGGAAAGATAAACTTTACTCTGACAGCCCAGGGGAGAAAACTACAGAGTTCTCTGGCCTAGCCCAGAACATGAACCTCAAAAACCATGTTGTAGTGTTGTAGGGATTAATATTATACTCTAGAGAAAGCTGCAAGGGTTAGTTAGTTGCCTATGGGGAAAACATGAATGCCACTAAACCAAAGGGGACTTGACACAGAGTCCTATAGCAGTGTTTGAAATTCTAACTTTAGGAAGTAAAGTAGCTGTCAAGGCCTCATGGACCCATTTTTGCAGTGGATGTGGGCATGTTGAGAAGAGGCACAGGTCTCAGTGTCGAGTTGGCTTCTTCAGGTACTATGAATGCTAGACCACCATATGGCTTTGGTGGTGCTAGATGCGGTTATAATCATGAACTCCTTGGGAAGTCTAGCAGTTACTCATCACCTGAAACTTTAGTTGCCAATACATGGCTAGTGTCCGTCACCTTGAAATAGTCCTACCTCACTTCCCTAGGCATCAATGTCTCCCGTAGCGAGGACAAGGCTGACATCCATTATGTTGCTGAGCTTCCTGATATTTTCAGGACAATGTGGTGGGCTTGGAGGCTTTGTTTCAAGACTGCTCTCAGCAGTACTTGTAAGAAGGTTAGAATAAATAGACTAATTATTTGGAATAAATGACCAGTCCTTTCAACAGAACAGCCAGTCAATACCACCAGGCATTTGACCAATTTTGGTTGATGGATTTTTACTGTAATCCTTATTTATAAAATAAAGGAATTGGACTAGTTGGCCTCAAAGGTCCCTTTTAGTTCTAGCTTATGCCAATTCTAATTACTCAGCCTAATTGACCTTTTGGATTAGCATCGTATGTACACCACCCCTCAGCTAGCATTAAATAACTTGTTTGTGGATCAAAGTCTCAGTAATGTCATTATGCCTAAGTTTATTTCCATGCTTCCACTCATCTCTGGGTCAATGTATGTGAGTGTCCAATGGAAATGGTTCCAGGAGTTTTAGTCTATTAGGGATATGTAAGGATATTTGACTTTTATTAAAATAAAATTGTAGAAGTTGAAGGGGAAAAAGATAGCTTTGATCTGTGGAGCACCAACATAAAATCACTCATGTGTTACCGATGCTCAGGTGAGAACAGGTGGGTCAAGCTGGCCACTGCATTTTCCTATTACAGGTATCAAGGCTAGTGGTCAAGAATCAGAGAAACTGAGGCTCGAGACAGGTTCCTGTAGGAAGGGACTCATCTTTTCCCTGCTGTCCAGCTTTGTCTTGTGTCCACCAGGCCAACAGCTGAGCGTTGGATGATGGTGGGATGATGATGATGTCTTTGGGAAACATTTGCTCTTCAGGGAGCATATGCTAGGCCATGGTTAAAGTAATGTTTGTTGTTTGCAGGAGGAAATGCTGGCATTAATTACCGGGAGTGGTATAAACCCCTGGTGTGGTTTTGGATCCTTGTTGGCCTTGCCTACTTTGCAGCTGTCCTCAGTATGATTGGAGATTGGCTGCGAGTTCTGTCCAAAAAGACAAAAGAAGAGGTAAGAGACCTTCCAGACTGCGCCATTATTCTTGACCTCAGATCAGCCTATCTGTGTTCTGTGGGCTGGAGAGCTTCTGACACATAACAGGGCTCATAAGGCTTCTTCATTTTGTGTCTTTGCCTCACAGCCAAGTTGCATGGAATAGGAATTATTTCTAGAACCTTTTTGGGCGGCGGGGTGCAGGGACGTGGTGATTCATTTACTAGCCACAACCCTGGGGAGAGTAGTAAATGACAATTCATTTTAAAAGTAGAGTCGAAATGGAAAAGCGTAGAAATATTAAGTAAAGGCTGACGATTGCTGAGGGAGCTGCTCATTTGCCTTTTAGCAGCAAATATGTGGGGAGGCTTAGAAGTCTCAGAAAGAGCTGGGGGAAGCTGGCCTGTCCCCAGGTTTTGGGGTCTGTGAGGAGACAGTGTCAAACACCATGAGTCGTTCTCTATTCAGTGTGAAGCTGAGGCCATCAGACAGTGGCCAGCCACAGGGAAGTGGACTCAAGGGGTCCCTTTCATCTGTATCTTCTGTCCCCCCATCTGCTGTCAGAGCCACACAGATTCATACCTATGACCAGAGGCGCATAGTCTGTACTCCCTCACTTAAATTTGTGTGAGAATCCACACAAAGATGAGAAAGGGCCAATCTGAGAAGGAAAGATAGTTTTTGTAATTTAAGAAACAATTCATGTTCTTTCAGGAAGATAAGAAATGAGAAAGTAGGAGGGCAGTGGAAGGGGATAGAAAGTTAAAGAAGGAACAGAGAGAAGAAAACCCCAAGAGAACAGGAGAGGGACGGGCAGGTGTTCACTCTTTATAAAGGGCCCTTGGACAAATTTGTTGAAGGGGAAGTTTCCCTGATCATTCCTGGGCCCACATGTTTATTTTCTTGGTTTGTATAAATACTGTCAATGCAGTTTCCAGTCTGATTCCCAAGATCAGCAATTATAAAAGGAGAGGAAGAACATAAACATTGATTTTCCTAAATTCAAAAATTTGAGCCAGTCATCTCTGTAGGGAAGCATGGCACACTTGGATTGTCTACCCTTTTGATTAAAAGCCAGGAAATTTGGTGCTGGTCTTCAGGCTAGACTTCACTTTCTATGAATGTATGTTCTGTGGCCTTTGGCAGAATCTGCCATGTCCCTGCACCCGACAGGGAGATGTGGTCACCAGGTGTCCAGAGCATCTTCATCAACCAGGGGAAGGCTTGTCACACATGGTCATAACATAGCTCAGACATAGGTTAACCAGTGGTTCCAGTTTGCCCAGGGCTCATGGATGTTCCTAGGACACAGGACATTCTATTTTAAAGCCAGAACAGTCCCAGCCAAACTGGGTTGGTCACCCTACCTAGATGGAGAGATTAGAAGGACAGGGAGGACAAAAGGCTTGCTGAGTATCTGCTTTGCACCCAGGGTAGAGCTAGGTACATTTCCTTATGTAGTGATAAAGACCCTGTGAGCTAGATATGGTTTATGTGGGAGGAAGGAGTCCATATTCTTTATAAAAGGAGTGGAAGCGTAACTGGAGACCCAAGTATCGATCACGCCTCTAGAATTCTGCCCACCTGTCTTTTAGCCACTGTCTCCCAATCTCAGGTGTCCTTTGGGTCTCCCCACATGTCCACCTCTTTGAGTCACATCAGCCACTAGCTAGTCCGAGGTGGGTATCTGAGTGGAAATCCTAGGATAGAAGCAGCATTTTGCCCCTTTCCCTGGACACAGGCTCTTCATCCTCAGCCTCTCCAGAGATAGCCTTTCAGTTGGGGCTCCTGAGGGTTGAGGGTCCTGGGAGGTTGCAGGCAGAGAAGAGTTTTTCAGCGTGTTGTTGCTCTTCCACTCCTGGACAGGTTGGTGAGATCAAGGCCCACGCGGCAGAGTGGAAGGCCAACGTAACGGCCGAGTTCCGGGAGACGAGGCGGCGGCTCAGCGTGGAGATCCATGACAAGCTGCAGCGAGCGGCCACCATCCGCAGCATGGAGCGCCGGCGGCTGGGCCTGGACCAGAGAGCCCACTCGCTGGACATGCTGTCCCCCGAGAAGCGTTCCGTCTTCGCTGCCCTGGACACAGGCCGCTTCAAGGCCTCATCCCAGGAGAGCATCAATAACCGACCCAACAACCTGCGCCTTAAGGGGTCGGAGCAGCTCAACAAGCACGGGCAGGGCGCCTCTGAGGACAACATTATCAACAAGTTTGGGTCCACCTCCAGACTCACCAAGAGGAAAAACAAAGACCTCAAAAAGACCCTGCCTGAGGACGTGCAGAAAATCTACAAGACCTTCCGGAATTACTCTTTGGATGAAGAGAAGAAAGAGGAGGAGACTGAAAAGATGTGTAACTCAGACAACTCCAGCACGGCCATGCTGACCGAGTGCATTCAGCAGCATGCGGAGATGGAGAACGGAATGGTACCCATGGACACCAAAGACAGGGAGCTAGAGAACAACTCATTACTTGAAGACAGAAACTAAATGTTAAGGACATTGGTCCAGGACTAAGCGTTGTGTGGTCTTTTTTTTTTTTTTTTTTTAAATATTCACACTGAGACATGTGCCTTAAACAGACTTCTTGTTAGTCCAAAATTACATAGCATTGAAGAATATATTTCACTGTGCCATAAATGACTGAAAGCTTGCTCTGCCAAAATGAATCAAAGAACAAGAACTTCATTTCAAACAGCAGCTGCAGGACACACAGGGAGCATTCACACACGTAGCAGGTCTGGGCCGCACACGCGAAGGGGGTTCCCACAGCGATGCTGTACCGCTGGGCAGTGTCGCCTGGGCATGGCTTGCAGATAAGGGCAGCTACTCCTTAGACTAGCCTCCGAAGGGAACAGGTGTGTCTGGAGTTTCATTTCCAGAAGCTACTGTCACACACAGAAGGGGGGCCCGTTTGCAGGTGAACTGGTACCTGTAACTAGGTTTAGAGCTCACATTTTGCATTGCTCTGAACTTGAATTTTGACATACACTATTCAGTGCATAACACTCTTTCTGAGCTCCAAGCGAATGTTTGTGGGACCCGAGAACACCTGGAATTTTCGATGGAATCAGATCAGAGCACACATATTAAAAGGTGCAATTGCTTTTCTCATTACAAAAGAAAAAATAATCACAAACACATCACACTGTGGATATCACCTTAACCAATGACAGAAGCCTGCTGAGTTTTGTCTTTCTCACGGGGCCCAAATATTCCAAGTGAACATGTAAGCACTGGTGAGAAGTCAACCTCAACTGCTGCGTGGTTAGAGGCCAGTCATGCATTTTCGCCAGTGGGTGTGATGATGATAAATAAACTGATTTTGAAATGTCCATGTTCACTTTTCTACTGAAACTTAAGTTCTAACTCATTTTGATAAGAGGGGGGAAAATTACCAAAACTATTGCCTTGCATGATGCCAGTGGCTTGCTGTTCTGTCTAGCTGATTCTAAATTTTTATAAAAATAGACATCCTGCATTTCTGAGACATACCAAGAAAGACCATGGCATCTTTCCATCTCAGGGCTTTCTGTCCCTTTGGGTGTCTTGGGTAGACGTAGTCATGAAACACAAACTTGCTATTCCCAAATGAAAGCAGAATTAATCCCTCAATCAACTCTTGTAAAATTGAAATGTTTTGCTTGTAGCTTAAGTGCCATTAATACCATTTACAAAACAATACTTAAAAAGAAATATTGCCAATATTTCATTCTGCTTTCATGTTTGGCTGTTCTTTTTTAAAGCATTACTTCTTTCCCTTGCTGGATTATTTAACACCTGCTATTCACTAAAATTGGAACACTCCTGTGACTGATTGTTTCAAGGCAAACAATAACCAACCGGTGATAATTATGATGTGAAGTTAGAACATTTGGTGAAGGAAAGTGGGAGAACAGCTGGCCAGTCATAGGTTTTGAGAGGGTGATTTTTAGATGGATTTTTATAGAAAAGGGAAAAGGGCATCATATGCCGTTACTCATGTGTGTTCCTGTTTTTATCATAATTGGCTGGCTGTCACATTGGTTCATAGTTAGCTATTTGGGCCGCACACTTAAACATTTGCACCTGGTGATACCAGGAAGTTGCTAATTATGGGCCTCCCACCTTTTGGAGATTTCGTAGGATTTTATATGACTCATCCGCACAGTGCATTTACCAAAAAGATCACAAGTGGAGACTTCCAGAAATCACCTAGTGCTTTCTGACTTTCCAGGGAAATTACGCCCATTGCATCCTTGACCATTTGTACTACAAAAACCTTTCTCTGCTTATTTCCCCCCAAATGGCAGCTCTGTTGCCTAGCCCCAAAACTGTAGGCTCGAGTTGAAGTTCAGGCATTGCTTTTGAGAAAAATCCAAATGAGAATCACCAGGATGAGGCCTTTCCTGTCCAGAGTAGGCTTGGGTCTACTCCTTCACTTGGCTCGAGTTATGGCTCACTGGTGACATCCAGCGTTCACATAATAGACATTTGGGAAGCGCTGTGTATGCACGTGTGGACGTTGGCTTTTGCTGTCATCCCAGCTTTACCCAGTGGTTTTAGGAAGTGGTAGATAACTGAGATTTTCTGAGCGAACTTTTGGACCGTGTTCATTTGGGTTTCCTCCCTATAGTACCTTGGTACTTCTTTATAGTAATGTAAGTTACGGTCCTACAGCCAGATCTGGCAAAGAGGCTTTCCTATTATTTATCCAGTGCCTTTTGTGGACCAGGCATTGGATTAGGCACTTTTGTAGATGTCTGCTCACTGAATACTCACAACACCACAGGGGAAATATTTGCAAACCCATTATGTAGATGAGCACATGGAGGCTCAGGGAAGCTGAGGAACTTACCTAATGGCACACAACAAAAAGGTGGTAGAACTGCTATTATTTAAAGTATGACCAAAGTCTGCTTTCAACTTTGCTATAGTGTCTGTGTCATGTACCCTTGTGCGTGTGTGAGTGCCTGTGTATGTGTGCACATGTGTCTTTCAAGCTTCATGGACACAGTTTACAGAGGGGAGGGGAAGATACAGAGGAACCTTTACTCTGCAGAGGGCAGGAGGTCTTTGTATAAACATAGCCTAGAGGGTTGCCCTTAAAGACACCTACTGTGCATGGTCTTCATTTTGTTTTGGGGAATGCTGCGTATGGCACTTTTTCTGTATAGTTAAGAAAATGTCCTTTGAGAGCACTCTTTTGCACTTTACTTGCTTACCTTGCAGGAATTTCACATTCAACAGGACTAAAACAGTTCAGAGAGCCCTGAGCTGGATATTCTACCAAATGGAACAGGTGCATGTGTTGGTATGTGCATAGACGCTTCCCCAAAGAATCAAGTTACAGTAATACAGAGTCAAAAATAGCCTTGGGTTGGGAGGGCAGAAATCTTTGATACATCCTCTTCCCTGAGCACAGTGGGAACAATGCCCTGCTGAATAATGTCAAAGGTGACCTTCTGTGGAGATTGATCCATTAACTATGTGGGCAAAGTGTTTCAAAAACTGTGAAGTACTCTCCTTGGGAAAAACTGAGAGGGAATAAAAGGTTGGATTTCTTTTCGTGTGTACAAATTAAAATTTGAGGATTCAGTTGTTTTGGTTAGCTGAATGCTACCTTTTTAAAGACAGAGCCAAAAGCATGCAGAACACACATGAGAAGGCAAAGCTGCTACATATTCTACATGCAGTGCACAGCCCTCCCCCTACAGTCTGCATTCCCACCCTTCCAAAGACCCGGAGTGGACAGTGTAGTGTGGGACACAGAAAGAACACCTGGTCAGTATCTTCTTGGGCAGTGTCATTTGCTTCATCTTGTAATTGGGGACTGAATTTTATTCCCAAAATACATCTGGAGGTTTACTGGTGGGAGCCAAGGGACAATTTGGAGAGACTAATATAGCTCATTGCCTAGTCCTAATCCAATATCCAATAGCGATTCTAGCCATCTATCATATTTTGGGTAGAGCTGTGTAGTGTGTGTGTGTGTGTGTGTGTGTACATGCATGTGTGGGGAGTCCCTAGGCTACCATTGTGGTAACTAGGGCTATTGTCTGTACAACCCTTCCTTTGTGGTTGTGGGCACATCAGTTCCCTATATCTATGTGCACATCGAGGGAGTTGAGCACAGATAGTTGTCAAGGGCCCTTTTAGTTCTGCAGTTCTCTGGTGAAACATTCCCCAGTCCATGAGCTAATTACACTTATTAAGAAAGTTATAAGTTGGATTTGTGAATACTGATTAATGATCCTACCCATTTTAGAGTGAGAGCTTGGTTTCCTGTCCTTTGTTTTCTGGGTGATTGACGGAGACCAGATGTATTTGGGAGACTGGTTTCCAAATTAGGATCATGCCTGGTGTAGGCTCTCTCTATTCTCCCTTATAACTCTTGGCACTCTGTCACCTGGAGGGTCATATTATGTGGGCATTTTGCATTTTTTGCATGGTGTTAAATCTTGTTAAAGAATTTTAAGCTATTGCTATTTACAGTCAGTTGTACTACAACTTCCCTTTGATTACTTCATGAATTCATGTACTCCCCCCCCCTTACACACACACACACAGGAAATGGCTGCTCTGGGTTCTTTGGGGACCATTTCATGTCGAAAGTCCTGGCTGTGCTAATCTTTGGCACCTGCCTCCTTGCCTCCCTCTTAGATGATATCACTTCCTAGTTAAGTCAGGGATGCGTATCTATTTATATGCTTGGTTTTCGGGATTACTGAGAATGTGGCCAGGATTTGAGAAGGGCAGGTTTTGACTCTGTAGACTGCATAAGAATGTGAACCTTCCAATGTGTACCATGGTTTCTGAGCCACAGGAAAACAAACAAGCGTGCAGAGAGCCTCTCTAAAGGAACAGCAAAGGAACACGCTGGTATTATGTTCCATATCTCTGCTTTCTGCATCCTACTAATGTTTCAAGTGGGGGTAATTCTTCCGCATTGTTATGATGCGGTTGTGTGCACATACAGTAGCTGAAGGAGTGGAGAAAGCTTCTGGTGATGCAGTGTAAAAGCTAGTAAGTAATGACCTTAAAAGGGAAAAATGTAATTCTAAAACAAAGCTGACTTTAATTTGGTATTGTGGGGGCTGTTAATTCTACATATGGAAACTAAAATAGCACACTAGTTCCATGGCTCTAAATAGAGCCCTGCGCTCTATCCTTGTGTGGTAACTGCATTAAACTTCACCCACCCACCCATACTCCTTGTAAACTTTGCCCCCGCCCCATGGCAGTCTGTGAGTCACATCAGCACAGTGGAATTGAGGAGAAACACTCAGCATCTCTGATTTTACTGAAAGTGGTGCCTGAGATTGAGACTCTCCTTTGTGTTTTTGTTTTTTAAGTAAAAATCTCACACAGTTCTCTGCGCATTAAAAATTCCTTGAGCAGACACCTGCCCCAACTACCCAGCAGACCTGTGCTGTCAAGGGTAACTGCACAACCCTTCCTTTGTTCCAGGGGCTCCAGGGTTGAATGGAGAGTTGCAGTGGTGCCTAGAAGTGATATGCAAACTACCCCACAAGTCAGGTTCCAGCCCCATTCCCGTCCCAGATTCGCAGGCACTGGACCCCGTGATGATGATAAACCCATTTGTGGAGGTGTTTTACCTATTTTTCTCTTTGTAGGATTTAATGGTGCTTTAAAAAAGGCATTTTACAGATAATAATGTGTGTGTGGGGATTTCATAATGTTCTTAGGAAAAGTACAAAAGCAAATTTGCTTGTAACATTTCAATATGCTGTGCTGCTATTGTCTTTATTGGATGATGTACTTTTTTTTCCATGATGGAGAAATTGCAACAAAGACCTTCTGGAAGACCCAATCCAATGTCTCTCCTGTTTGCGTTTCTTTTGTGGGGCCAGTGTGGTTCATAGTGGCTGGGTGGGGAGCTCTGCTCAGGACAGCTCTTCTCCAGCTTACACTCATGCCTTACATTCCTCAGAGCTGAGAAACCCATTATCTTCTTTTTAAGAAGGGGAATCTTCAGTAACTCAGCATTGTTGTGGCACACTTACTTTCATTTTCCTATTTTTACTGGATCCTGACTGCCTGTTGCTGGGTGTTGGACAATATAAACCAAGTTTTTCTGGGTGAAAAACTAAGTGTGGCTATTGTGGCAGGTCTGCCAGTCCAGAATGGACAACTTCTTGGATGTAGACATTTTAATCTGTGTTTGGTTTTGCTTTTGGCGTATTATATCCCCCAGTGACAGGCTTATTAAGAATGGGGAGAGATAAAATGGTGACCATTTCTGAGTGCTGGTTATATACTAGCTACTCTGGTAGGCAGGTTACAAACATCCCATTTAGCCTCTCAAAAGAGTAAATAAGTAAGCTGAGTATCTTCATGTTTTAAGTTAAAGTTTTGAGACCTAGAGACAATAAGAGATTTCCAACTCAAGTTAAAGAGCTCCAGACCTGGGTCTCTCACTAGGGTCATGCAGTTTGTGGGACATGGGCTTTGATATTTTTTCAGTAAAAGTAATGTGGTTCATTCACACTTGTCCTATCTTTCTTCTCCTATTTGTGAAAAGGGGTGCTAGGATGTCAAAAGTACATTCTTGATTGTGGGGCAGAGCAAGGCCAAGGGGCCTCTATGGTAGCCAAAGCCAAGACCTTAACTTACAATAACTCAATGACATGGCAGGTGATAGGCTGGCAGGGACAGATGTAGCTCATATTTTTGCTTCCCTGGGACTGGTGCAGTGACAGTACATGTTAGGATCTCAAAATGATCTTTCTAATATGTAGTAGATCAGTATATCTTCTTGGCCTTTAGTGTGGAACTCAAGAGCACCAGGCTATCAAGCCATGAGTGAATTCCTGTCTCATGCATCATTCTCTACCACTATCATTTGTGTTATTTGCAAGCTTATCAAATGACCCACACTTTCTTCTTCTATCCTCAGGCTTTTACACTTAATGTTTCTTTTGCAAGTCTTCCTCATGTGTCACCTTCCCCATTCTGCTGCTCATTCAACTCCTTTTAGAATGTAGTGGGAGAGTAACTACCTCCAGGAAGTCTTTCCTTATTCCTTTCCAATCACAGAGAGTGAGTTGGCAGCCTTACCAGAGCTTGAGCACTCCTCAAGGATAAGGGTTGTTGTGCTGGGTTTTAACTCCTGATTTCTTTGTTCTGTGAGAATATGAGATCCTCCTAGCAGGGACTGGGACTTTCATTTTCTGTCCTCAGCACAGAACAAGGTGCTTGATAAAATATAGACACTCAAGTTATTGGTGGAAGAATTTTACTGCCGTTTTGCATCCTTCAAAGCAAATTTTTTTTCTTGCATTGGAAATCATTTGGGGTCAAGACTGATGGCATAAGTAATTTATCCAACTCTGCAGTATCATTTTGGTAAAACCAAGTTTGCCTATTTGATTTGCATTTTCAAAGAACTCTAAAATTTTAGCCACATGATAGTTGTTGGAATAATCAGACTGGGAAGATGACTGCTCTGAAGGATCTTTCTCATCTCTATCTTTCTCTGTCTCTCTCTCATTTAGACAGATACTAGAATGTTACTTAAAATTCAGTCATTAGTCAGTTGACATGTCTAGGAACTTAAGACATAAGAGAATTAGGCTTTGTGAGGATGTCAGATACATGGCAAGTCTGCCACTGCTCCTTACTCCTGTGCCCAAAGCAGGCATCATTTGTTAGTCACAGAATTCTGTCCCCCATTAATTCCAGTACATTCTTAGAATTCATTTTAAGATTGTACACCCAGTTAGCAGTTCCCAAAACATGGTTTATAACCCTTGTATGACCCCAGAGTCCATAAGGTCAGAACTATTTTCTTTTTTATATTTTCATTCTCTCATGAAGGTACAGTATTTAGAATTGAGTAGTATCTGTCACTTCGGGAACACAGGCAAGGCAATCTGATGCCTTTTGTTGAACATTAAAAGAATCTTCCAAAATAATGGTAAGCAGACCAAGAGTTAGAAGGAGCAAGGAAGGAAGTGAAGTGTAGGGGACAAAACAAACAATCAAAATTAGGATGTACCATGTACATGTACCAACTTCACAAGATAAATGTAATCATTATGTAGTACATTATTTATAAAAAAATAATAGATGCTAGTGAGCAGGACCAACCAGGAAGACCAGGCCAAGGCACAGGTACACACGCAGGTCCAGGCAAGACCAGTGGTGTGGAAAAGTCTGAAGCAGCAGTGAGGAGCCAGCAGTTTGTAAGTTGGGTGAACCAGGGTTGTGCTTCAACACCCAGACACACAGAATAGAAGTGGACAGGGCCACCATTCTATATCAAAGGGCTCTGGAGAACCTCAGCAACAGAAGACCAATCCCAGCCCCCACATGCAGAGACCAACATTAGCCTCATACCCAAAAATCCCATGGCAAACTTGGCTGGAGTACACAGCACATTTCTGGGATCTGACTTGGATACTGCCACAGAACTGTGAACACTAGAGGAATTTTACTGCTTTTATTTTTCTTTGATTTGTTATCCTTTTTCTGTGTGGTTGGGTTTTGTTTTGTTTTTTTTTTTTGGGTTATTTTTGTTTTGTTTTGTCTTTTTTTCCTCTTTCTTCTTGCTTGCCCTCCCTTTATTAAGGTTTCTTACATTTCTTTTTTTTTCTGCTACTCATCTTCTTTCTCTATTTCCTCAACTACCTCTTGAATTTATATTTTCATGTGAGTAAGCATTGTCTCTTCTCTTTTTGATTCACTTTAATACTCCTTCACTTTCTCTCATGTGTCTTCTAGTTTTCCAAAAATGGGTGATCATCCTTTGCCCTCCAGCCTCACTTATACTGTATTTGACTTTCTCCATCTCTCTTTCTTGTCCCCTACCCTCTTAACAACCCCCCTTGCCACAGGGTACAGTCACTGGAGTAAGGGGAAAATCATTGCACACAAGTTTCTGGTACATGTTAGATTTTGTTATATAACTGTAGAATTTGCTTCTATGGTTAAAAGTATCAGGTTAACAGCTACTACAGCTTGTCAATAGCTAGGTTGTACTTGATGCTATTATTGTTGCTAATTATGGTACTTTAGCCAGGATGCCATACATATTAACAGTTTTTCTCCCTTGTATGAAAACACGGTGATTGTATGGAGTCATAATCATCACCATAGTCCATTACCAAAAGTCTGGTTGCTGAGCCAAACAGCAAATTTTCATCCTTAAAAAATTGGGTAGGTAGGTTCTTCAGATAAATATAAAGAATCACCTATATCTAGAAGATACCCCTGAATAACAGACATCTCTTAGGGAAGCCTCGAAACTAGTGATAAAGCTATCTACCATAAAAAATTGACAAGAATCAACACAGAAAACAAAACACAATAAAAAAGAAAAAGAGAAGACAGAAGCAAAATATAATCCTATAACCAAGCTCACTTAGGACAAGCCCAGAGAACAATGAGATAGAGGAAATCAGAAGTCAAACAGTTAAATTTCCTGAAATGATAGCAATAGAAGTGAAAAAACAAATGGAAAAGGCTATAGAAAAAACAATCTTTCAGGTACAAAAAGAAATGAGACTCTAAATGAAAGCTATTAGAGTAGGCAAAGATAAAAAATAGAAGAGCTTAGGAAAATGATGGAAACTATAAGTTCCTCAAATAAGAAAGAAATGGAATCCACAATGAAAAGTTAATCCAACAGCTGCAAGATGAAGCAAAGCAAAACAATACAAGATTTATTGGGGTCAATGAGAAAGCTGGAGATAGTGCAAATGCCATAAAAAACTTCTTAATAGAAATAATGGCAGAAAACTTCCCAAATATGGATACAGATTTGACATACATGTAAATGAAGCATATTGAACTCCAAAGAGCCACGACCAAAATAAATCTACACTAAGGCATATAATAATCAAAATTACAGAAATTCAGCACAAAAACAGAATATTAAAAGTGGCTAGAAAAAAGAAACAAATCATGTGTAAAGGAAAGCCCATTAGAATTCCAGCAGACTTCTCAAATCAAGGAGAGCTTGGAATGAGGTATTTCAAGCTCTAAATGAAAACAATCTCCAATCCAGATTGATATACTTCACAAAACTATCTTTCAAAATTGATGAAGAAATATGATATTTCCATGACAAAGAACACCTGAGGAAATTCATGACCACCAAACCAGCTCTTCAGAATGCACTGAAGGATGAATTATAAAGAGAAAAAAAAGGAAGACCACAATCACAAGAACACAAATAGAAAGATGACACCAGGCAAGGCAAGCCACAAAACAGAGGGGAAAGATAGGGAACCAACAATAAGAAAATAATATGAGAAAGATATGCCAATAGCTATCTGTTAAAACCATCAAAGTAAATGGTCTCAATTCACTAATCAGAAGAAACAGACTGCTCAAATGGAACAATAAACAAAATCTGGCCATATACTCCAGTCAAGAAACACATTGAATTCTAAATGAAATTCATAGATTGAAAGCCAAAGGATGAAAAACAGTATGTCATGTACATGTGACAGGATCCCAAAAAAAAGCAAGAGTAGCTATTCTGTTTGCAGACACTGTAAACTTCAATCCAAGACTGATCAAAAGAAACAAAGAAAGCAATTACATACTCATTAAGGGAGACTCCAAGAAGACATAACAAACATAAATATATATGCACAAATACCAGTGCAGCCAACTACATGAAACAAATATTAATGGACATTAAAAATCAAATGAGCAGTAGCTAGTGGGGGATATTAATACCTCACTATCACAGCTGGATAGATCAACTAGACAAAAAATCAACAAAGAAATAGAATTAAAACAAACCTGTGAACAAATGGACTTAGATGTCTACACTGCTACATTCCACAACATCAGAATGTACATTCTTCTCAGTTGCACATGAAATGTTCTTCAAAATAGATGACATATTAGCTTATAGAGCATGATTAAGAAAATATAGAGGAATTGAAATTATGCTATTCATCTAATCTGAC